CCAGTGGTTATCAGGCACATTAATCTTGATGTGCTGTGAACTGAGGATGGGGTGTATCTGCTTCAGACGAAAGTTACTGGGACGCAGTAAAGTAACACATAAGAGAATTGTGTAGGATCAGGGTCCTGCCGCCTGACTTTAGAAGATCTTTTGCCTTACTTTATACAATAAGGCATAGTTGTCACTTCATTTGCAAAATGCAGTTCAAATATTTTAAACTTAAGAACCTTCCTTCTTTTCCTGCAGACCTCTGCTGTATTCCTTAATTACCTTTTAATTTCTGTGAAAAATGAAATGGCTATCTTTATAGGACAGCCTCCTGTATTTGTATGATGATTCATTTCCAGGGCACGTTTGTTTTGGTCCCTGAATGAGGTGAGAGTCCAATGGGGAAAAATAATGTATAGTCATCTTGTTACAAATGACATCTTTGTGTCGCCAGGGGTGAAAGTAAAACTAAGCAGCATTATTTCTGGTTGTAAGCTGTTCTCCATTTGTAGCTGTGCTCGTATTCCATTGTGTTTTTTTGTTGCTTCCTGATGATAAAATAAACCCCAGACCCCTACATTATGATTAAGGAGGCACACAATCAAATTGCATGGCATAGTGCCTTTATGTTTATTGTTTACTTTTAAAGCGTGAAATCCTGGAGTTTGGTACTCTGTACTGATCAAATTAAGTAGTTTGCTCCAGATGTGTGGGTTTTTGCCAGCTGACTTTGCAAATGCCTGTAGACAGTAGAAGCATCCTCCTGATGCCTTTGACAAGCTCCAGGAGGAAATTTGCTCTATTGGGAATACTTTTCCTTTCTCATTTCTTCATTGCCTAGTTGTGTCTTTACTACTTCTCAGTGTGAGTCCCAGTTTATATACTCTGTAGTTGTGGCTTAATTTAGTGTAGGATGTGTTCACTATCCCTGTTCCCATGTTCTTACTTTCTTTGCATAGGATCCAGTCTCCTTGCTCTTTTAAAACTTTTAGTTTCCCATCACTTCTGTTTCCTGTACTTCTTAACAGACTCCCAACTACACTAAACTCTATTCCTCATCTGTTGTCTTACATTTGATTTTTGTAGTTCTTTTTCATTCTTTTCCAGTCAGTGCTGATGTTGTCTGCTTGTTTCTCCGGCTGTCCTATTCTGACTCTTCTTCTTTCAGCAAAGTTGTGTATTTTGACCTACTTTTCTTGCTTGGTTGTCAAACCCAGTTCTGTGCCTCATTTTGGTGGTCTTGCTGTTAGCAACTGAAAACTTTCTGAGAAATACCTTTTGGCAAATGCCTCTGTTTCCATTTATTTCCACCTTTTTTTTTCTTTCCCACTTCTTTCAGCTCTTTCTCATGGAGCATACTTAAAATTTGGCTCATTACATAGAAGCGAGATAGAAAAGGTATTTATATGGCACAAAGGCAGCTTTCTCTTCTCTGTATTTGCTTATCTCATTGTAGCAGGGGGATCTTCCTCTCAGGTTAGCCTTGACAGACATCAGACATGTACCTCTCCAGTTATTCTGCAGTCCAAATTCAGCAAGAAAGCTGTTTTAATGTTTAAAGCTTTTAATGAATAATTTTATACCAATTTTTAGTAAGGGAAAATTGCAAGTCTGGAAGGCTATGGAAATGGTACTTTCATTGTAAGGGTATTGAATTCCTACTGTGTAACTTCAGAGATCACAAATACAAGCTAGCTAGTATCAGAGGACTTGATATCTCAGTCTGCAGTGTGGGATTTTTTTTAACAAGTGAAATTCTCTGCATTCTTAGCAAATTTCATTACAGATTTACCTTAGTCCAAGAAAAAATACTATTTCACAGTTTACTGTCTCTCAGTTGAAGACCACTTACAGTTTCTCAGCTTTTACTTGGAAACAAAGCAAAAATAGACTTCCTAGTCCTTTTGGCTGCTACTGATCTTATAGCAGGCTAACTGCAATTGAAACTTCAGTACGTTTAGCCTATCAGTTGTTTTCTTATCGTTAGAAGTTCTGAACAGTGATGAGGTGGATCCCAGGTGGTGGTAGGGTTCTCTACTCAAGCATAGCTTCCACAATTAAAGTGTGCAGATTTACTGATTTGTCCATTGGTCTTTAATCTTCTGTGCTTGTGTTTAGTAGAAAGGGGATCAAAGATTTTGCTGGAAACAGTTGCTGGAGTTAGATGCTGTGTTGAGGGTCCAAAGGTATTTGCTTTTTTCTTTTTACATCTCTGTTGGTTTTGTTGAAATGCGAAAAGCATAAAGGGTTTTGTACCTGTTACCTGTTTCCAACACAAAAAGTTCATTTACATAGCCTTGCAAAAGTTTATGTACCTAGCGTGCCTCTTTGAAGAGGAAAGCAACTCTAAATTGTGAAGTTGCAGACAGTTAATAAAGCTTTCAGAATCAAATACTTAGATCGTGATATTGCTCCAGGCAGCACTGACATTATCATCAAAGGAAGTTATGCATCTTGAAGCTGAGAATCATGAGAAGAAGAAAACATTTTCTTTTTATTCTGTTATCAGATGGAAAAAAAAAAATCAAAATACCTTGATACAAGTAGCTCGATAAGGCCTGAAAACTAAATCTGTTTTCACATCAGAAAAAGTTGATACCCTTCTTGGTGAAAGGTTACTTTTCTATTGAGGAAAACAAAAACCGAGTACTACTTGCATGCATTGTGGATCTGTGACTGGGATATAAATACTGGGAGCTGGGGTCACATTTCCCTCTGAGGTCAACTCTAATTCTTTTGGGCACTGTGCTGGGTAGGTTATGGAGGGGTAATCGTGGACCCTTCCAAAAAAACTGCCCTGTAAAATAGCGGGAATTTCTTTCAAGTATGCACTGAGAGTTTTTTGCCTAGTAGTTCTATCGTGGAACAAAGACGATGGATTTTTATATGGGATGAAAGTTTTGCTTTTGAGTTCTGTGTCGCTAAAAGCTACTGACTTTGAGGAGACTCAAAAATAGTGACAATTTTGATCACCTCATAGTCAAATACTGTATCTAGAAGTGTGAAGTGCACATACTGAGCCTGGAGAAGGAGAATTTTCACTAGAAATGAAATCAACTTCCATTATGAATCATAGCAGCTGGAGGTGCTGCTTGCTATTGAATTTGGTAATGTTCTTCCCAGGCAGATTTCTTGGAGCCTTTCCTAGGCATACGCTTTCAAGTTGAATATTTACCAGCCATGTAACTGCCAGAACTGAACCTTCGGCAAGACAGTGGTGTGCAGGGTGGTGGAACTCTGACTGCTGTGGTCTTCATCAGTTTGCTGGTTCCTCAGGGTTCTTGTTGCTTGGTGATAGTCTTTCTCTGAGATCTTCCAAAATTGTATTCTGCTGTTGACTGAAATGCAATGTTTTTCCTGAATGTTTTCCACTTTGTCATTGGTTTGCATGCTTTCAGTCACACCGAAACATGATCCAGGGTCACTAACCTGACCCTTTGTAACGTTGGATTGTGTTCCTAGAGTTGACCATTGGTTTTGGTAATTTATCATGATGTAGAAGGAAATACGAACCTTATTATATTATGTAATGTATTAATTGATAGCATACTGAAGGATAAAATGAAGTAATAGAAATGGTTATATTGGAGATTGTACCAATTAAAATAAAGATATGGGGAGGCCAAAGAATAACTGATTACTGAATTACCTAATTTGCTAATTATTGAAATAGTATTCAGTAGTGATTTGCCTTTTTTACTTGAATTCCTGCATAAGCTCACATTGTAAATATTTGTATTTGGCTTATTACTTTAACTGATATGCAAACTTGACGCAAGTTTTCTTTTGCATATTAAAAATCTTTCCATTCTCATTGGTATATTTCTCATTCTCATGAAAAGAAAAACCATTGGATGTCTTAGGAACACAAGCCTCTTCTTTCTGTTGTTGAATAGAAACTGAAGGATTGCATTTAGAAGAATTGGGACAGTGAAACTGTGCTTCCTGTGTGGTTTAGCACTCCTGTTGTGTAACTGAGGTAGGGTTGGGCGCGTAATGTAATACCTCCAAATTTGTCTTCACATCTGATTCAATACATTGAGTTTGGGTGTTCTGGAAGTTTATATTGCTGCAGAGCCTGCTTTATGACATCTTTGCACGTTAGCAATTTCATGTTAGTGAATAGCATCTTTCTTTGGAAGGGTCAGATGTAGTCTCTTGGCCTGTGGCGTTGTGTAGGTCTGGTGCTTAGGAGTAGGGCAGGAGAAGTGTCGTTTGTTGGAGCTGACCTTTGAATCCCTGCTGTGGGCAAGGTGGAGAGCAGGCATTGTTTGTGTCCTGGTAAGTTGTTGCAGTCTCATTAAATCAGGCTATTGCATTATTTTTTTTTTTTTTTTTGGGGGGGCGTCGTAGGGAATTATGAGAAGGAAGGACAAATACTACAAGCTCTTCATTTTACCCATTGCTTCCATTATCTCCTCACTTATGTTTCCTCTGTGCCACTAGGTCCTCATCTCTGCAATGCTATTACAGAATTCTGCTCTTAATCCTAACCTTAGCAAAATTTCTCTTCTGCTCACCTCCCAGCCTGTCCTCAGTGCTCTATCAACCACTTTTCCCCTCTTCTGTTTCAGTGAGAGGAGAGAAAATTTTCAACAGTTTCCTGCCGTGTGAAGTTCTATCTGGCTTAAAAATTGATTGCTGTCATACACCTGGATAGTAGCAGCACTACAGCATCCTCTAGTGGACTGCTTGGTTTGCTGAACTTGCTAATGACCAGCAAGGCTTTTCAGGTAGACTTTTAAGGGGAAAGTTTTGCTGCTGACTGACAGCAGAGCACTTAATTGTCTCTCTCTGCAGTAGCCCTCAAGTACTGACAGTGCATAAAATACAGTTTAGGGACATTTCAGCTTCTGTAACACCACTTGCTATACTGTGGTGAGTACAAATGTTGAATTTTTTACTGTTCTTTCTAAATGGAAACAGACTGTGTGTCCTGCATTCATTCTTCCTTCAGGACTGCTTAGTCTGAAGATAACAAGGAGTTACTGCATCATGCATTTTCTATCCAGGATTAATAGTATATATTTTTAATAGCTTCTACTGAGCATTCTCAAAGGGTGCTGATTAACTGATATACTTGGATGAAATCCTTCACTTAAGAGTTCTGCTTTCTTATCCTGAAAAAAAAAAAAAAAAGAAAAGAAGAAGAACAAACGGTGTTTATTTTTAATGCCATTTTTCTGTTTAGTGTGACATAAGGCATTTCTTAACACCTCTGTTGGTTCTGCCATGATTTCAGTGGCAGGTTGATAGTTGTTATAAAGTACAAATACAATATACAGTCACAGATGTTAGTGGTTCTAATTAGCAAGGTGTTCAGCTATCTATTAAGACACTGCATGTGCCCTCGTAAACTTAGAACGCAAAATAGCAAGGTATGTGTAAACTGATTTTCTGCTTGCTTTTAGGAACATGGTAATTATAAAAATCAGTTGATTTTGAAGTTTGGCTAATATTATAGCACAAGCAGTGTGGTTACATAAGTGGCAGATTAGTGAGGAAATGTGAGTGGTGGCAACAGAGTCTTCTGGTGTGATTTCTTCCCTCTTTGACGATAAAAGGCTGTCAGTGTTTGTCAATTTAATAAAAGTTACTTTCTTTAATAGGCTGGACTAATTGAAGCCAATGGAGAGCTTAAGGTGTTTATAGACCAAAACCTAAGTCCTGGAAAAGGTAAGAACACCATTTTTAGTAAGACTGTTTCTTGATTGTTGATTGTTATGCTTGTTACTGGCTTTGATCTACTTCCTTAGCTTTAGTAGAGCTTTTCTTAAGTTATATGTTACGTGCTCAGCAAACAAGCTATAGTTTTAAGTTCAGTTTCAGTTGTGGTTTTACTGCCATTCTGTATGTGATCTTCACATTAGAATAGCTGTGATGTAAGCGTGCAGGCTGTGATGGCCAAATACATCTTCTGGGGCAGTATGTTCTAACAAATGGGAAAAAAGCAGGAGTGCAGTAGTTTGAGAGAGGTTCTGACAGTTTATATGATACTGCATTCATACTAATGCAATTCTGTCTGAAATAATAATTTGAACAGAACCGTTCTGGACTCGCTCGTAGTGGCTGTGCTTGTATGACAGTGTAATATAATCAAGCAGTTTTATAAAACAGGCTGTAAACTTCAGTTTGATATGTAAGCTCGGAAAACTCAGAATATCTAAACATTAGAAGAGTTATGTGCTGTCTGTTACGTTTAACATAACTGGGAAAGAAAACGGAATACAGTGAGTTCCAGTTGTCTGCAGTTCTAGACAGCTATGTCATATAATCTTTTGTAAATCGATTATGCTATATATGAAAATCAGATTTTTCTTCTCTGTATTCTTATGGGATGTTTCCATAGTGAGATTTCCAGTTAAATGTATTCTTGCCAGTTCATGCATTTGCTGATGGCATTGTTATTTTTCAGTTTAATACTTTTCTCCAATGTTCTGTTCCTGTTCTTTGTAAAGAGCAATGATGTATCTTAAGCTTCTAGTTTGATGGGCTGGCCAGATTGTTTTCTAGATTAGTCATCAGATGTATACTATGTCCTCTGGATTTTCTGCGTGTTCAGTCATCTAACCATTTTTTATTGCATTCATCAGCCTTCTTTAACACAAGTGACCCAAATTGTATATACAGTTCCAAGTCAACCATTGGCCATGTTTTTATGGAGCTATCAGTATTTCTCAGTGCGACATTGTGTTTGTGGTTCACAGTCATCTCACAGTAGATTTTGGTGGAATGGCTGTTTTTCTTTGTTGCGTCCAAATGCTGATAGTCTGGTTTATTTGTGTGCAACAGATGGGGTGCTTTGGTAGGTTGTACTAAGTAGGGCAAAGTTGATTTGAACTGACTCACCTGCTGCTTCTTATCTGTGTTCTCATAAACCTCCATGTTGACAAGTCCATTGACTTCATGCACTGATGGATTGCCCTCACGCTCAGATTAACCTGTAGTCCAGTTCAAGGCATCTCGAGTCTAGTCGTCTGTATCCTGTTTTGTAGAATTGTAGAATATCCTGAGTTGAAAGGGACCCGTAAGGATCATTGAGTCCAACTCCTGTCTCCACACAGCACCACCCAAAGATCATACTATATAACTGAATGTTTGTCCAGACGCTTCTTGAACTCTGCCAGATCGGTGCCGTGACCAGTGGCCTGGGGAATGTGTTCCAGTGGCCAGTCACCCCCAGGTTAAGAATCTTTCCCTAACCCCCAGCGTGACCCTCCCCTGAAGCAGCTCCACACCATTCCTTCGAGTTTCAGCCGACTCTTTTAAGCATTTATTTTTACATCTTGAAAAACTTTGGATTTCTACCAGCACTGATTCAACTAACAAGTTTTGTTTTTAAAGCGACATTGGACTTTATTTATTTTAATAAAATAGTCCAAATAAGTAAAAATGTTAATTTTACAACACCTGTTTTGCAAGTGATTTTTGAGTACCACCTGTAAAATGCCCTTAAGTTGATGTTCTTCATGCTTTAAAAACATATTTAGCATGCAGTAAGAGGTATTGATCTTTATATGTGGTAGAAGGTTGTCTATTCAGAAATCGTTCTAAATTCACTTCTGTTTGCCCAAGCTCTTGTGTATTTCCTTTAAGGAAATGTAGCACCTCATTAACCCTAAAAAGAACAGCACTTTGTGGAGTATCTTTGGTATTCAGGATGCTACCAGTCCCTGGATGAAAAGATACAACTAATGCAGGTTTTCAGTGTGTCTGGATCCTGGGGGGTCCTGATGAGAAGATCCATGTTCTCCTGGAAGACTTGTCTTTAAGGAGATGAGGCATGAAATTTATATCTTAGAGCAGCTTTCACGCTAAGTACCAGGTCTGTTGAACTTGTAGTCTGATAGGGTTTTCATGGCACAAATCCACAGACACCAGTCAGCAGCGTTTGATTTGGCACAAGTGCCACCGTGAAAGGTTTTGACACGTGTGCTTGGTAGCCAGGAAGATGGTTTTCTATTAAAGCCCTGCTCCCAAGCAGTTTAATGGGAAGAAGATATGATGTAAATGTGTTTGTTTCAGGACATCCTGACAATGCCAGGCACTTCAAAAATGCAGCTTTGGTAGTGTCTCTGATGGTGAGTTAACACACAGAGGGAAAGGTAGTGGTACTCAGCCACCCTTCCGTTGATAATCTTATAAAGCTAGATGATCTTATAGCTCATGCCCTGTGCTGTTGTATTTACTGTCAGCTTGTGACAGTGTGGAGAAATGCTAAATCCCCTTGAACACATAAGTTTCTGTGCCTCATATCGAAATAGCCAGTTGCCCTTTTTTTCTCTAAAGACTTAGATGCTTATTATCCTGTATTCGGGGAGGGCATTCCTAATCTTGTTCATAAATTTTTCTTCTAAATTAATAAATCATTATAGTCAGAAACAATGTTTTAAAAAATGTAAAATGTGAACTAAGTGAAGCTCTAAGGACACCCATACTGTGATTTATAGCTGTATCACCTCTTTTTTGCTGATAATCAAAAGGGAGATATCCCTTTATCAAAGATAGGACAAGAGCACAGATGAATTGTGGGATTAGGTTCTGAAGTGACTTGATCATAATTGCTTGCTTAGAGAATCAAAAAGTCATTAAGGCTGGAAAAGTCCTTTCGTCCAGTCCAACTGCCAGCCCACCCCCTCCATGCCCACTGACCACGTCCCTCAGTGCCACATCCACATGGTTCTTGGACACCTCCAGGGACAGACTGCACCACCCCCCTGGGCAGCCTGTGTCACTGCCTCACCACTCCTGAGAAGAAGTTTCCAAACGCCCAACCTGATCCTTCCCTGGTACAATTTGAGGCCATTACCTCTGACGTTATGAGGCAAGGATAATATGGTTTGGATCATTTGCTTGCTATTTTAATTTGTTTCCATTCTGGGATTAAAAATGAAAAAAAATACGTAGTTGTGTTATCTGCTGGGTTTGTTTTGAAATATCAACGTGACTCACTGCTTAAACTAAAAATTGCTCAAATTCTTCCTGTACATGGGCTTCAACTGATTATTAGGATTAGAATTCATTTTTAGAGTTAGAAATTACGTATGTATTGGAGGAAATGAAAGAATTTTTAATAGGAGCCGAACCAATAAAACTTCATTACATGTCTGTCTTCTAAAATCTATTTGGCAGTTAACTTTCTAAGTCTGTAAATGCTGCTGTTTAGTGAGATTGTGTTATGAAGAAGACTACTGCATTCTAGACCCAGTTATTAGGGTCAAATCAGAGTCAGTATTAAAGAATACAATTCTAATCCTACCCCTTGCTTGTCAGGATATGTGATGAAAGAAAACATCTGGTTGAGGTGAGAGGAAGTGAGAACAAATGGTATTTAATGCTCTATTGAAGATAACGCTCTTCAGTTACTTTTAAAATCAGTGAAAAATAAAATTTGCATCATCTGTCATGCCAGTAGGTGGCATTATTGGTACATAACCAGCAAGTGCTTGTCAAGGTGTCTTTAGCTCCTTTTGTTTTCCTACACTTTAATATAAGATTTCATGCTATGTGGGCATAAGGAACTTATGTTTGGTTTTCATTTCAAATTTATTAATTTAAAAACTTGAAGTCGAGTATATCAATTTTTAAGGTGTATGTAAGCTCTTTTCAGCACTGTTTAACTGAAATGACTTGTTAAATGACAAGAAGCTTTTTTTCAGTGTAACATAACTGTTAATTTTATACAGAGAGATCAAACTCCCTGATTTTTGACTGTGTTTGGAATTGTGCTTCTGGAACAGAAGTTGAGATCTATTTAGGAGCCTGGGATGCACCCTTTAGCAAACGTGTCTTACTACTGATTATGGAATGCTGGGCATTGCGGACCGTTCCAAACCATTGCTATTATCTAAAGTCAAGTTGGAAAATAAAACTGTATCTGGTAGTAGGAAGGATATTGAAAAAAATCCAACGAAAATCCAAGAAATTTAAGAGTAGGTCATAGCATTTATTTGAACAGACTTGGAAAGACTGGTTGGTAATATGAGGGATAAATTATTAGTCATATCTAAGAATGGCAAGAATTAGCTAAGGGCATTAATTGATTTCAGAAGTTTAGTAAGCATTTAGTGATACTGTAGTATTACGTAAGGGAAGATTGATGTCTTTGTAAAAGATTTCCAAATTGCTGTTTGAGAACAATATCTTAGGCAGTGTGATCTGCTCAATATGAAAAGTCACTCTTGGTACCCAACTAGAGGCAGTCATCTACGTGCCCTGTTAGAACTTACAGTAGGTTGAAACCTTCGGAAGTAGTTTGATGTTTTTTGAAGATTAGCATGTAAATAATCATATTTTGTCTGTGGTGGCAAGAGAGAGGTTCCAGACTGCAGCTTCTAAGGAAGCCTGAGGAGCTCCCAGAATTTGCTTGTCACCTGTCTTCATTACCAGATCTTCTAAGTACACCCTTTATGCTTATTCTGTATGTTTATGTGTGATCAGTAATAACCTAAAGCTAATCAAGTTGATGCTTTTGTGATAAGAAATGATTTTCTTAAGCGATGTGGACTGGATAAATGGTTCTTTACGTGACACTTTCATGTTTTCACCCTAGCGGTGTTTTCAATAATGGTCTCACATTTATGAAAGCAGCAGTTCAGACTCGCTGATTTGAGGTAGCTTTTGTAGAACAAAATGCCCAGAAAAGACTGTAAATAGTCCTTGTGAGAACTGCCTGGCATTTAATTTCCCCTTTATCTCTATCTGGAATTGAGGTTGAAAGAGATAGTCAAGCGCTATGTACATCACATTGTATTGAGGCAGCTTTATGGGTTTGAGGCTTGAGTACACTTTCCTACTGCCATGATGACACTTTGAGGAAGAGGCAGAAGGAGGAAGTCTGCCCTAGAGTTCGTACAGAAAACAGGTTGCTGATAAGCTATCTTGTCGTTCCAGGATGTTTTTTTAGACTTTTTTTTTTTTGTTGTTGCTGCCTGTGCAGCAATACTGTGTAAACAAGCAGAGGACTTTCCTCAGGTTACCTGGTTGTGTTCTTACTGCCTGATGTCACCAGCTGTCTGACTGAAATTAGTGGGAGGTCCCACTAACCACCTATTGAGCAGTCAACCACATGGCTATAATGGCCAAATGCAACTTTTGCTAAGTAGGATAGCATCAAGTGAGAACTAGTTGAAGGTGATACAAATACAAGTAGAGCCTGTGGCAGCGACTTTAGTGTCAAGTATTTCAGAACAGTATAGCCGTATCTGCAATAAGTCCCATGACTTGAAAAAGCCCTGAGAAAAATCTATAGTCTGGTAACCCAGAGCTTTGTAAATGGAAAAAGAACTTTTGCAAAAGAATGAGAATGGAGTTAAGCTAATTTACATTCATATAAGAGACCCTGGTCACTTTCTGTTTCCAAACTAAATAATTTTTCTGACAGCTTTCTACAGAGACCAACGTGGGGGTGGTGTGACACGCTGGAGAGAAAAGAGCAGGTTGTGCAGTTAATGACTGGTTTGCTTCAAAGCACAAATTATCTTGGTCTGTGTTTGCTTTGCAAAATGGTGACGTTAAGGAATTTTGGTAGTGATTTTGTAGAATTCGGTCTTTCTCCTCCTATCTCTTCTAACCCAGGAAAATCCACAAACAGAAGATAGATGCTAACATCAGGGGCTACAACACTTTCCATACAGTTCTTGTAGTTTTCATGTAATCCTACATCAGTAATTTGTATCTTAAGAAGTACTGGTACTGTGCCTTCTTTAAAAATTTATAATTCCAAAATTTGGAATGTTATACTCCAAGTGGCACTTGGCCTTCTTGAAAGTGGTAATCGTTATCATCAGTGTCATTTCTTGGAACCATCTGGTTCATGGAAAGTCTCATTGGTCTTTTTTGGTCTCCCCAACTCTCTTGCTCTGGTTTTATCAGCTTCTTGATACTAATGCTGGCTTTAAAAAAAAAATAAAAATAACTTGTATGACTTGTATTGAGATTGGCTTAGTAATGCTGCTGTCTTCCAAGCTGTGTGGCTGTCCTCAGCTAGATTCAGCTGCTGTTAAAAGCCATTGATTTCGAAGCTTATAGAATCTAACCAAAAGTTTATGCAGTTCTTAAGAGTAGTTTAAGTGGTTGTATTGCAAAATGTCATCTGTGAGGTTAATTCTCTTTAGACCTTTCTTAAAATAACCCTTTTGCTCAGCACCTAGCCTTCAATCTTGTAGAGTGTTTACTTACAAACTGGTCTGCTGGAGAGTTTGCAACTGTGGAAGGAAGTGGTAGGAATTACTTTGACCGCAGGAAAACCATTCTTTTTCTCATGCTGTATATTTTTTTGGCATGTGATAATTGAGAAAGTGCTTTCAAAATAACCTTCTAAAAACAATCATACACATTACTGTTCTTATGCTAGGAGACAGATTTACAAGACTTAATGTGTTAAAGACTGCATTATCAGAAAACTGACTAGTTTTTTCAATGATTTCTGTTGTTGGGAGAATTTTTGGGTTTGTTTTTATAAGCCAGAAAAGATTCAAGAGTTCTTCCCTAAATGAAACGAGTAATTGAAACAGGCAATTAAACACATTTTCTTTGTGAGGAAAGCACTTACCTAGAAATGTTTGTAGACAGGTGAATGTTTTGTTAAAGCATGCTGCTGCTTTTGCTGTTCAAGTTTTATGTGATATTACTCCTTGATCCCATCTGTATCATTATCTTATGTATAGAAGCATTCTATAACTGTACAGTACTGAAGTTCTACTTCCATTTGGGCTTAATGATTGCTTGTAAGTTGCTTAGAGTTTTCTTCCATACTGACAATATTTGAGAGTCTGAGAGTTTAGGTAGGAAAGTTTTGTCTTTCAATATAACTTCTTTTATGCTTTAAATGGCCTTTTACTGTGGTTTTTGAAGTCTTTGTCTCTTCAGAAATAAAAGAAAATAAGGACCTAGCTGTATTAATAAAACATTTTGAAAAGTAAAAAGAGTTGGTGCCAGGCGAACTGTTTGCTAACATGCTGCTTCAGAGTTTACATGCTGGTATGGATGCTGTCTCTTGGCCGTAAAACAGAAGATTATTTGGATTGCACTAATTGATGTAACAGTAATTACCAAATGATTAGGAAAATTCCTTTGAGAAACTGAGCTGTCAGTCACCTTCAAAGCTAAGTTAAAATAATATTTCTGCTTTATGTACTTAAACAACTTTCCCCACTCCACCCAGAAACTAAAGTATTACGAGCCTTTGGAAAAAAGTGCATTTGGATTTTTAGAAAAGTGCACATCAGGTAAATAAGAAACTAGTAGATATACTAAGCAGACACAAATTGAAAACATCCTTTCTTAAAAAATGCTTAAAAAAAAATAAAATGAGCTATTATGCTTTAATGTTAAATGTGTTACCTTTCATGAGTTGACTTTGACTTTGCTTAGAACTGAAGCATGTGTTACTGTTCTTCCAGTTGTGTTTGTATGTCCTTGCCAATCAGTTCGTACATACAGACAAATGTACTTTGCAGTTCCTGGAGAGGGCCAGGCTGGTTCCGTAGCACAATGCCACAAAAACATTAATGTTCTTAAAAACCTTAAAGAAGCATAGTGTAGGCTCTTCCCTTCATGCTGATGATGTAGCTGCAAGATAACTGTATTCGTAGAATTTTATGAATAATATAAGGAAGCTGGAGGCCATCTAATCTAGCCTAATGATCAAAGCAGGGGCAACTTCAAAGAATGGGGCCTTGAGTAACTGAAATTTTTATATAACTGCAGGGAACTTCCTAGGCGACCTGTTGCCGTTTTCATTGTGAATGTTTTTTCCCTGGCATCTAGTTGGAATTTTCTGTGCAGCTTCTGGGGACAGCTGCCTCTTTTGCTGTGCATCTCTGTAACTGCCCATTTGATATTCAGAGTTGACAGTTAGATCACTACAAGTACACATCTTCTCCTGCCTTAATCATCTCGAGGCCGAATGCATCAAGCTCCCTCAGCTTCTCCTTACACATCACGCACTTCAGTACTCTAACCACGTTAGTAATTTGACCAAAAAATATTTACCTGTGAGTTCTAAAAGTACTTAGTGAAGGTACTTCTGTTTTGTTCACCCAGTGTAATTATAACACATAAAGTAATTAGGAAACACACTGGTAAATGTGATAATGAGGAGGAGCTAATGCTTTTCCACAAGGCAGGGAAAAAGGGAAGTTAGAGAGTTATATCTTTGTTCAAAGTCATGCTTTGAAAGAATCAACAAGCATGTGGATAAGGGTTATCTAATCAGTGTGATGTCCTTGGATTTGTCAAAAGCAGTGGTCAAAAAAAAAGTTATCGGGCTTTAATCAGCCTGTTAAAGAACCTAAGGTGTCAGAGAATGGGACAGTCCTCCATTGGGTTAATAATTGATGAAAACCAAACCAGATGTAATGAGGACCCCAAGTGAGGTATTACAATTCAGAGCGGTTATTAAAGTCCTTGTAAGTTACGTTATGGAAACATGAAATTAGTGTCTTTTGGGGAACAAGCAAATTAAATTTAAAGAATTACTTAGAAATCAGCAGAGAATAAAATAGAAAATATGCTGCAGAGTTGTACAATAACACATGGCATCCTTTTTTCATGGGTAATGTGTCCCTGTCTCCTGCAAAAACAAGTCTCAAACAGCAGGAGAGCTCGAAGGTGTACACGCAGCATCAGAGGTAAGGAGAGGGCTCTGTACAGTTAGAGATCAGATGACAAGAATTCTTAACTTGATAAAGATGTTACAATTTTTATACTGGAAGTGGAACCTCCAGTTAGCTTTCTCGTCTTTCAAGCAGTGAGAAGGTTTAAAAAAAGGCATGTTGGCAGAAAGCTGAGCAGAAGATAGGCAGGCACTTGTAGTTGGAGTAGTTTATATCATTTTCAAGCATTCTGCAAGGAGCAAGACAAAAAAAAAAAAAAAAAAAAAAAAGCCAGATAGTGGTGGCTGAACTCAAAGGAGCACTGAAGGAACGGAAAGGTGTAACAGACTGTTGCAAGCTTGATAGCTGCTGACTTTATAAAAGAGCGTTTAAAAGTTAGTTAATATGTGAGAGTGCCAGGCTGCAGCATGGGTGTCCAACCTCTCAGCTTGTCTGGGCTGCACTGAGTGAAGAGAAATTGCCTGGGGCTGCATCTGTGGAGGTTGTTCTGAAAGTAATGCCTCCTAATTATTTCCATGGAAATTTCCAGAGGTACAGAGAGCACAGTAGCACTGTTTAGTGGATTGAATTCTCAGCTACAAAATGCTGTTTTTCAACACAGTCACAGCTATTACCTATGCATTTTCGCTTGCAATGAACACAAGCCTGCATGCTGTGCTTGTAACAATCCTGTAGAAACCTGCCATCTCTGCTGCTGAAACGCACTACTCAGCACCTCGCTGTACTCACGTCCACTGTTTGATCTCTATCTCAATGGTCAGCAACTGTAGGTGAATGGCAGTGCATGCCATTTTTTCCAGCTGGAGGAATTCAGTGATTCACTTTTGCTTCATCCACCATTGTGTCAAGCTGCCCCTTTGCTGCCGTATGTCACACAGCAACAGCATGTAACAGATATTACAGAATCACAGAATGGCCAGGGTTGGAAGGGACCTCAAGGACCATGAATCTCCAACCCCCCTGCCACAGGCAGGGCCACCAACCTCCACATTTAACACTAGACCAGGCTGCTCAGGGCCCCATCCAATCTGGCCTTGCATACCTTCAGGGACGGGGCATCCACAGCCTCTCTGGGCAGCCTGTTCCAGCACCTCACCACTCTCTCTGTAAAGAACAATATTGGTCAAAGGTTCAGCCTCTGCTGGCGTACCACCATCATCTGCCTCTGACACTGTGGGCCAACATCATAACTTGGGAAGTATTACTTTTGGAACAGCCCTCATAAAATGTGTAATATAGGTAATGTGTATAAGTAACAAAACTAAATAAATAAATAACAAAAGCATAGTGCTGGTGGGATACATGACCCTGTTTTTGTGACGCTGACGCATCAGTCAGGTTCGATGGCAGTGCTCAGTGAGCTCTCCAGGTGTTCGTCAGAGGTTGGTGGTGAAATCTTACTCTTGTGCTTCATCCTAGAGAATAGTTGTTCACAAATGTGCATACTGCCAAAAGTGGTGACATGAATAAGGTGTGACTATGAAGCGAGGGATATGTTCTCTCTGCTAAGAGAGAGCTTCTGAAAGTCCAGTAGGTAGACGTGATCAGATTATGGATTGCAGTCCTGTATGTTCCATTTGAAAACTCACACCTATGAATTTGATTTAGTTGATTTAGATTCAGTTGATTTACATCAAATGAAAATGGAGTTGCAACTAAACAAAAAAATTGATTCTCGGCAATCTTGAAATCTGTTCTCAAATTCATTTATCACAGCAGAAAGCGTGGCTGCATGTTTTTCTCTATTCACAGGACTGTGCTCGGCTAGTGTATCAAAACCCATAAACTTTGTTGCCATCACTTGAGCTGGCACTGCACTGCATCCTGTGCTCTAGTTTCTTCCTGGATGGGGTTAAGAGTGTACTAATATTCAATTGGTGCTGAGTGATGGCTGTGCTAGGCCAGCTGCCCTAGACTGGGGGCTGCTCCATGGGGCAGAACCACCACCACGATGGTTCAGGGCAGGGGATGGCTGCGGTGTGAGCTGTGTGTGGCCACACACAGTCTGTGGGCTGTGGGTTGGACTTGCCTTGACTGTAGCATCCCGAGAAGCTGTCTGTGGGACCAACAGTAGATTCTGGTGCAAAGCTGTCAAGTTTGTCATGGTATAGGAATGGCAGCTAGAAAGTACAAGCCTTTGGGAAAGCAAGGCCTTCAGAATTGAGTTTTCTTCAACTTTCAGTTGATTAAGTGCATTCATTAGAGAGATGGAGAGTATCATGGACTGATCACGGACTATCTTTGTATGAGATAATGGGAAAAAGAAAGGCAAAGGAAGCTGTGCCGTGCCCTTCTAACTCCATTGGCCCCTTTAAAAGAGATTTGAGGGAAAGAACTGTCAAACCTCTCATCTTGTTTGCCCCATGAATCTTTCCTGGTATCTTGAGGTATTGTTCATTTTTTTGGTTGTTGCTTGTTGGTTGGGTTTTGGGGGGGTAAAGGGGGATGGAGACAGGGACATGACTGTCTTGGAACATCAGATTTCGAAGGATACCCGATGTTGTATTTTTGTCTTATATAGTTAAAAAGTAACCATCAGTGGCGACTGTGAATAGCTTATGAACAGGAAAATAACAGTTTTCCCTTCAGGGTTGGTCTGCATTTGTTCACACGTGTTTTGCTCAAATTCTGGCTTCTTGTAGACTTCTTTAATTCTCTCCAGCTGGAAGGGATCACCTAGGAGAAAGAGGAAGGTTGGAATTACTCTGTTGGAAAGTCCATGCTAAACAAATGTAATCTCTTGTAGATCAGCATGCCTCAGAAGGGTATGTTAGATGCTGGTGAATTGGGCATGGTTTTTAAGTGGTTAGGCAAAAGACTTTGGTAGCCACTAAGGAGAAGTGGGTTGAAGAGGAGGGTAATATGCCTTCTATCATAAACCTGTTAGCTCTACTACTGTGCTTTGGCAGAATAAGTGGACCGTAAGGAGTTAAGTCATGCTCATACTAGATCACTGAGATGATTACACAAAAGGAAGGTGAGAAAAATATATTAGGAATCTTAATTTCTTTCTGCTTCAAGAGCGTGAATGCTGCGTTCATTTTGGCTCTCTGTGGCGCTCAGAGCTAGTTTCTGTTAGTAGGCCTTGGTAATACTTATGAAACTGGAATTGCAAAAATAATACAGTTTGGCTGACATGCAGATTTCTACTTCTATTTGTTTTTAGGAGTTGTTTCTCTATTGGCTGTTCATCCCTCTACAGTAAATACACTCGGAAAACAGCTCCTGCCAAAAACATTTGGACGGTCTAATGTCAACATTGCACAACAAGTGGTAAGGAGATGTGTTGTTTTCTTTTAACTTATGTGCTGTAAATCTTAGTTGCTGATATTCAGTATCACTTGTCATGTGCAGATTGTCTAAATGTTTCTAGCTTTAATAGACTCACTAAATTAGAACAAATGTGCTTTTGCAGAAGGAAATGAGAAAATGACATTCAAATCAATAGGCAGATACCTGAATATTCAGATTGCTTTCTTTTTTGGTAGTGTTGCCACTTCTAATCAGTGGCTCTTTCACATGTTCGTTTGAAATCTGTCATAGAGACATGTAAATGGATTCTTCTAGCACGTTGTTAGTGAGATTGAAGTCAAATGGAACAAAATTGAAAGCAATTTTGAAAGCAAAGTTTTTTTTATTCTAAATTGAGGTATCCTTTTGCTTTAGCTTTTACTGTTGTTTTGTGTGAGGCGTATGAAATTAGGATTCAAGGAATCTAATAGTGAAGTTGAAAATACACAGGTTATAAGAAGCCACTTCTGTAGTGATCAGAATTAAAATGTGGTGATCTGAAGAGAGTAGGTCTCAAGGTTTCCATCTTATGGAAAGCAACTGTATTGTGTAAAGATCTGAAAGTTAATTTGTCTTACGTTTGAGTTTCTTGATACGAAAACAGTTTACCATCCCCCTTTCCCAGCTCTTAAGCTCTAAGGAGCAAGACTGCCTAAATCTATAAACTGTACCACTTCAACTGTACAGCTGTTGTGGAAAGTCTAGTCCCTCTAGTCCTATCTTTATAACTGCTTACCAACTGTACTTTGAAATTGTTACCATGTTCAGAGAGCTGCTCTGGTGTAACTGTCAATTTGAAGAGCACAGCGAGGGAGAAGAGCAAAACCAACAAGCCAAGAAAAAAAGCAAAGCAATGAGAAACCCACAAACCTCTACACTCTCCCATGTCCTGAGTTGAACTACAATATCTACATTCAAGTCTTGAGGTTCACATAGTTTGAAGAGTCCCATACGAGATAGACTAAAGATTGTTGATTAACGAAGTGTCAGTGAAACTGCAGATTATTCATTGTATGCATTGGTGAATTCAGTGCCTCCAGCAATTGCTTGAAAGGTAGAGTTTATTAAAATGAGTTTAGCTGAGTTCACCTCTTCAGTAAGAAATATTTTATCAATAAATATCCCAAGTACAGAGCTGTTAGATATTCTTTTAATTTAAATGCAGTAACTAGCAGTAGGAAGAGAATGGTTTTTTCTGCATATCACAGTGGCACGTAGTTTGTCTTCTGGACATTACTCTGAGGCTGTATACTTGAGGCTGTGTACTTGAGTTTAATGTTGAAAACGAAACATTCTTTTTGGTAACATGGAAGACTTTTTCTTAAGTTATCAAAACGAGGGTTTGATAACGAAATGACAAGCTATCTGATGCCTTTTTAAACTTTGAAGGTTGAGTAAATAAACGTTTACAGTCCTGTATGTGTGCATATGCACTAATTATACATCTGTAAATTGTCTTCACCGCATTTAATTGACAAATGCTCGTGTACTTTCAGTCTTGCACGGTAACATGAAATTGCTTTTCTTCATGGTGTCTTTCTTAGTGTGATCACTGTGTGAAATTCATGCTTGCAGTGAAGAATTTGTCAGCATTTTCAGTGTTATTCTAAACATTTTAAGTAAGAAAAAAGATGGCCCATATCAGCATATTTGTATTGACTCTTATTGGTACAAAATAAAATGCTTACTTTTATGTTGGCATAGAAGAGATGGAGTTCTTGTTCAATCTCAAGTGTATATTGAGAGAAAATTTTTGAATAAAATTATGCTGGCCTTATAATTCAGAATGATAGCAAGAAAAAGCTAAACCTGGAAACTGAGGAGATAATTGGTTTTTTTTGCCAATAAGCAAGATGTTCTTGGTAATGAATTGAGTTTGCTTGTGACCCTGATCAACTTTTTAACATCTGTCTGGTAAAACCATGTTTTTAATACTTAAATATTTAGTTTTCTGAGCTTGTATTCTTGTTCAGTTGGTATTATTTCTTCTCAGGAGAAAAATGTTAATGGTGACAGCGCTGTAGTACAGTGAAGTGGATTGTGAAGGCTGTCATGCCTCTTCTTTTCCATTTTTTTGATCTTCTTAAGGAACTGAATTTTAATCTCATTCTTCGTAAATCCAAAAACATTTTAAAAATGTAGAGATACAGTGGATTTCTACTTTCACTTCATTCTTTGCCTCTTCCCTTTCTGTTTTCCCTAAAATTCCAACTATATTTGTTCGATTATCTTCTTATGATTCCATTTGTAAGCTTTCATTTTAGGATGTTCCCAGTGCCCCAGTGACTTCATTCTACTGAGCTCTTAGTGTTATTTTAATGCAAAGTTATGATTACCTGTGAATTTGAGAGTAACCTAGGGTTATCAGCATTTCTTTTAAGGAGACAATAAGAATACCAAATAATTCTTAGACTGAATCTAAATCTAAATCAAATAATTCTTAGACTAAATCTGAAACTCTAGGCTGTGGGGTCTTCCTTAATTGTCAGTCCGTACTTGTTTTGCTTTGAATACGACACTTGATATCGACATCTTCTTTGCTCAAGATTCTTCACTTAGTTACCAGTAGAGGCTTACAAGTTATTTCTGGAATTCTGGAGTATTTCTGCATTTCATGTCCTTGAAATATGGAAAAGAAAATCTTGGATGTTTGGAAGCAGTGTAACGAGAGAGGACCTTGGAACCAAAAGTGCAAATTCTAAGCTTCTGTGGAAGCTGTGTTTAAAAACTGGTGGAGATGCAACTTTCAGCAAAAAAAAAGAAAATTGCTGATCTTTTTTTCCTGGTGGTCACTGTGACAGTAATTGGATTTCAAACAGTTATTTAAAAAGAAAAGCAAGTAACCCCACATTGAACAATTTCATTTTTGCCTGTGGGATTTATCTGTTCCTCTGTGTTCTGTAGAGAAACTGAACAGTCTTAACATACGATTGTTCATTATAAGAAGACTTTTCAATATTAAAGAGGAATGTTAGACTTCTTACGGATACTTAGAAAATTTCTAATTTTCTCTATCCCTCACGTATATTATTTGCATAATACATGAACTTAGATCTGAGCTGTACCCTTTATGTGAAAGCGCGGGCTTTCAAAACATACAGCATAAAAGCGTATTATTCTGGCTAGTTTGTAAACTTCTTGAGATGGAATGCTGAGCAGGTTTTGAATTTGCCAAACAGACTTCAGTTTTCCACGTTAGCCTGTGGGGTTATCCACTTACTCTGTACTGCTCAATGTTTAGCAGTAGTACTGAGCACAGTAGATTTCCAGCATTTGCTGCTGCCAATGGATTTGTTTTTCTCTGAGCTTTGTAATTCTGCTCGCCCCCCTGTGCTGGCTTGGCCTCTCATCCAGCTGCACAATCTTAGGAATTCTAGATGTAGCATCAGGCTGGTGGTGGGAGTGTTTGTGGAATTGGGAAGCCAAGGCATAGAGGGGGACCCTTTAAATTTGACCTCTGCAAGCAGGCTGTTAAGTAATCTCTTTCAGTCCTCTGTCATCAGAAGAAACAGAGATTGGCTACTAGCTTTCCTCTGTTCTCTCTATTGTGTGTGTTATGTTAGTGGCACACCGGCAGTCTTCATGGCATTCTGAGATGTTGGTGAACCAGACTTGTTTTTTTTTTTTCCATGAGATTAGTGAAAGGGTTGTTGGCAGAATCACACCTCGGTAGCTGCAGGAATTCCAGTTACCTAAGAGCAAAAAAACCAGTAAGTGGGATCAGACATTTAGAACGTGCCTGGAAGATGCTTATTCCAGCTCTTCTTAAAAACGTTCTTTCAGAAATGGCCTAACTATAGCTATAATATGGGTAGTTTCTCAGTGAGGAAGAAAGACACACCTTTCTTTATCTTCACTTCTAATGTATTCTTGTTTTCAGCTCTGCAGTGAGAGAGGCTGCCTGTAGGAGAGAATTCCTTGCAACTGCACTGTTTTCTTTCAGCTTTTACTGATTTTCAAATCTTGTTCTGTACATTTATATTTTAACAGTAATTTACAGCAGCATCTTCAGATGTAGTCTGGCAGGGTTTTTTGTTTTGTTTGCAATTGTAAGAAACCCAGTAAGCATGAAAAGCTCATTTTGGAAGGATAAAATATAAATGATTATTGCTTAAGGAGTGTTTTAACCCTGTGATGTGTGGTCTGAAGGCATTTTGCTAACGTGTCTAAGTTGAAAGCATCTGTTACAAGTATGCAGAAAGAAAGCATTTTTTATTCTTGAATAATGCGTCATGAATAATACAGCATCTGAATATCTTGGGGTAGTTATGGTTATTTTCCAAATGATTTTTATCTTTGTTGTAGGTTATCGGTACACCTCAGAGACCTTCAGTGCCAAATACTATCCTGGTAGGAAGTCCACATACACCTAACACACATTTTGTATCACAAAACCAGACTGCAGATTCTTCGCCGTGGTCTGCTGGGTGAGCAAAATAAAAGTTACAGAGGATCAATAAGTTACTTAGAATTTTTGCTCTAAATGTTTGTTGTGACAGCGTATGCGTTCTTCATGGGGGAAAGCAGCATGGGAAAGACAGTCTGTTAACCTTCAAATCAGGAGCACTTCAATGTTTAAGTGTACTGTACTAAAATCAGATGCAGTTACACAAGAGTGATGTCATCTCATGTCATAAAAGCAACTGGGATGTTTCTGTGAACACTGACAGGTGTTCTCACATTACTTATTTTTCAAGAATTCGGCTCCTGAAAGGGCATAGGAATTCATCTGAGGCGACTCAGCTTTTAGTTTCACATTTCTGTTTGGCTGGAGGATGTCCAGAAATATACTTCAGATTGAATGAGTATATCCTGAATTATCATTTGAGTTAAGAACTTGACCCTTACTGGGAAAAAAAACAGATACAGTGACTGCATTCGTCTGGTGTGTCTGAACAGCAAGATAATCATTAGTTACTTTAAATTTTAAAAGGGAGAGGGTGGAATCGTACCAAAAACATGTTGGGAAGGGTGAGGAGTAGAAAAAAAGGGAAGACCTTGGCTTTTCACAGCAGTGTGTCTATATTTGAAAAAGAGTTAGTTAACACTGTTAAGTGTTCCAAAGTTCAAATCTTCTTAAACAACGTGTTATATGTATGTTTAGGAAGCGGAACAGAAAAGGAGAGAAGAGTGGCACGGGTTTACGTCATTTCTCTATGAAGGTTTGTGAGAAGGTACAAAGAAAAGGAACCACCTCATACAATGAGGTGGCAGACGAGTTGGTTGCAGAATTCACTACCCCTGATGATCACATTTCACCAAATGAATCAGTGAGTATATGGGAGGCTAGTAACATGTGAACTGAATGGGGAGACTTAGATTTCTTTTCCCACTACTAAATTAAACAGCTCAGATAATAGCCAAGTTTACTCATTTGCTGTAATGTATTTATTTTCAAATATTTTTGTCATTTGTCAGGTATGTTTTTGATTAATGCACTATGTCTACAGCAGGCTTACGACCAGAAGAACATTAGACGACGTGTCTATGATGCCTTAAATGTCCTCATGGCCATGAACATTATCTCTAAGGAGAAGAAGGAAATCAAATGGATTGGTCTACCTACAAACTCGGCTCAGGAATGTCAGAATTTAGAGGTAAATGTATGGGAAATTCACAGTGGATTTGTTTGATTAAAAAGTTGAATTCGTTTTTATTCTACATGTGCATATGATCTTCTTAGATAAAAAGTAGAATAGTTTGGTTCCTTATGACTTTCTTTCTAATTTGTATTTACAGAATATGCGTCTAAGCTTCCAGATTGCTTTAATATATATATATATATATATGTATATGTATGTATATATATATATATAAAATATATAATAATATATATATAATATAATATTATATATATATAATAATATATATATAAAAATAATATAATATATATATAATATATATATAATATTATATATATATATATATTTGAAGTAATTCAAGTTGTTCTAATTAGCAGTAAATCAAAGCGAATGATTAATGTGTATTTCCAACATTACACTAGTGGTAATCAAGAGTCAGGAATACTGTTTTCTTCAGATGCCAGACAAGTAATGCATCTGCAGCAATAGATGTTAAATGTCAATCAGTAGATGCAGATAGTGCATGATCCTTCTTTATTGTTGTAGGTCGCTTTTGTTTCTGATACTTAGGCAAATACATCAGCATTTTCTTACTACAAGCCTTGGAAGTTAAATGTTTTATACTGAGTGTCATTCCTGAGTTTTGGCTGAATTTTTCTATTGTCTTTATAAGCATCCTAAGAGTCCCACATTTGCATGATAGTGAATGTAAGATATTTAAATAAATCAATTGTACTTTACCAGAAGAGAATGAGGTGTTTGTGTTTATTCCTGGTAAGTTCTTCAGTAGAACTTAAAAGCTGTGTAGAAGCAGACAAGTGAGAAAAACATTTTTGAATCTGTCTACAGAGGGGGATGATTCTATGAAATGTTTTGGGTTTTTTTTTGCTATTGCTAACCTTCTTTCAGTTAGCAGTGTTATTGTGTTCAGATGAAGAAAGTACAGCAGATCTAATTAGTGTTTAATACTGTGGGAATGTAAGCAGCTTCGTTTCTTTAAGCATTTTTCTCCAATAGCTTCAATATCAGCAGGATATACCAAATAGATCATTCTGGTCCACATGCTTTTTGCCTCCCTCACAGAATATGGGTAACTCTTTGAGGCATAGCTTCCACTTACAAAGATGTTTTTATGCTCTTCCTTCTGTATTCTTTATTCCTGGATGTCCTAACTCTTCTCTTTGTTATAGTTTCCATCAGTAGTACTGATGTGAGACTTTGTAGGTCTCTGCATCTTCTGCAGAACATTAGTGACTGACACACTTGTTGCCTTCATTTCTCTGGTATTTAAACAATTTAAGGGGAGAAAATGTTGATACGAAACACTATTTAAAACCTACAAACTAATCAGTTCGTTCACTGTCTTAAGGTGGAGAAACAGAGAAGACTTGAAAGAATAAAGCAAAAACAATCTCAACTACAAGAACTCATTCTACAGGTACAGTCAAGGTACTCTTGTCTATAGGGCAAGGTAACTTCCATCTGTATTCCTGTTGTTTTGTGCCAGTGGGGAAAGGGAGACATTTCAGAAGGCTAGTAGTGAGGTTTGTGGTAAAGGTAGCACTGGGACCACAGTGCTGACTGTTGTTTCTGGCGAAGATACCGACTTTCTATGAGCTATGATGTTTTTTTTTTTTCCTGTAGTTGTATGTTTAAAGAGAATTTATGCTGTCAGGACCAATAATTGATATTGTACTCCTTGGAATTGTCCAATGAATGTTTTTCTGCAGTAGTCCTCAGATAAAATAGCTTGACTGTAACAGGTCATCTCTCGTAATGATCTTTATCTTGCCTTTCTTGAATGTTGCTGCCCTGCTGTGTAGGTGGCTTAATTGTATTGGAACAGTTGCTAAATGGCAACTTGAACTTCCCAGATTCCACCTAGTATTTTATAGGAAGCAGTAATCCCCTAAGTCATTGTTCTGCTGGTTCACTATAGTGTATTAGTTGTGCTGTGTATGCAGTAAGAATGAGAGTCTCAAGGAAGGCATGCAGAAGGAAAAGACAGTTGTGGATCTTCAATTTCTACAACTATCCAATATTTATCAGCTTCTGTTGGCTTTGTATTTACATTATTTTTTATAAATTCCCATTTATTTCATTTTACTCCATGACCGACCAGAAACACAGTATTTTTAGTTTGGTAGCTTAGTGTAAGATGTTAATGTAACTTGAGTTTTTGTAGTTAACTGGAATAATTTTAAAGAATGGCAAACATAAGAACTAAAATACAAATATTCCATTCATATGGAAATTCCATTCTGAGGAAATTCAAGGTGAAATTACAAATCTTAGTTGAATGTTCAGAAATGTAATATCAGACATTCACATCCCAAACTTTAACTGTTTCAAGCATATAATTTCAGCAAAAATACAGTCTTACTAATTCAACTATTGCTGTGGAATGTGATAGCTAGTAGGGAATACTAAACAAAGTGGAAGTATGAAGCTGTATGAAACTTGCTTTTTTACAGTTGTTGTCTTTTCTCCCTGTCAAAGTTCTATTCAGGGATCTGTAGTGATTAAATTATTAGAAAATGCTTTTTTTCCCCCTCAGTTAATTTTTATCATGTTTTTAATACTATGATTTTTGATTTTTTTCTTGCATCTTAAAGTTCAGTGTGGAATGTGGTGAACCTTTTTTATTCACTTCTCTGTTCATGTGCTGCTGGTACTCACTGAGAGATTTTTTAGGTTAATTGAATCTTGAAATTTTAATTCAGAGTTCCATATTTCCATTGCTTTTTGTAGCAAATTGCCTTCAAGAACCTCGTTCAGCGAAATCGTCAGGCAGAACAGCAGGCAAATCGACCGCCACCTTCCAATTCTGTCATCCATTTGCCATTCATCATCGTGAACACCAGCAAGAAAACAGTGATTGACTGCAGTATTTCAAATGACAAGTGAGTTAACAAAGCTTTCTCTCTGGCTTTTGGTACAGCTATGAGTTCTGTATCTGTATTAACTCTGTACGAAGAATTAATCTGTATTTGTTCAAATGGAATACAAATAAATTGTGCCTTTTACAGATTGCCAACGTGCAGTTAAACTTAGCAATGTTGAATAGAGCTTTGTAATGGAAAGAATAATAGTGTTCAGATTTAGTAATGTAAGATTTATGAACTAGAAATTTTAGAAGCCAAGTAAGGCAGTTCTACTTAAGTTGTATACAGTGCTGCATTAGCAAGGAGTGTCAGCTTGGCCCTAACGTGAAGTACGGCCAGAAGACTTGACTGTATTTTGTTTTTAAAACTGCTGTTCCTTGCTTTCAGTTCAAAAATCTAGGTTTTTCAACTAAGACTGAATGTAGTAGTGGTTTCTGCTTGCACTATTAGGTTACTATAAAGCTTAAAAAACCAAAAATTATTGCTTGCTAAACATTCAACTGTTGCCAGTAAAAAGAGAGAAATAGGAGAAATATTTATTGATGTGCAAAATATTTAACTAAACGTTTAACCAAAACTTTCAACATCTGTTAAACGTGTTAAAGATTATATAGTATGCAGAATTTTAATTTTAATTGAGCTTATGTTTAATTTTAGCTTAAATTTTGATTTAAGGTTAGTGTGTATGATTTTTAATTATTTGCTGTCAAATACATGTATCTTGAAAATTTTGATTACTTAAGAAGGTGTGTCACTAACACTGTGTTAAGCTTTTGAAGTTCTGCAATTCCTGAAACTAGAAGTGTCTGGTAAGATAGTTAAAGTAATTCAAGCTAATGGAGACATTTTTCCTCTACAGGTTTGAGTATCTATTTAATTTTGACAATACTTTTGAAATTCATGATGATATAGAAGTACTAAAACGAATGGGAATGGCCTGTGGGCTAGAATCTGGAAGCTGTTCAGCAGAGGACCTAAAAATTGCAAGGAGTTTGGTTCCCAAAGCTTTGGAACCATATGTGACAGGTTAGTTAGTGTAAGAAGAACTATTTTGCTTTCCTTCTTTTTTAGTTTCCCTTCTTTTTTTTTTTATGAACTCATGAAAATGTTTCAGCTAATTTCCACTGTTTTATGCTGTAGATTTATAAGTTGTCAGATGTTTGTGCTTTTTATTATACTTCGGGGAATAAATAACATTCTTAGCAAATAGGCTGTTGCTGTTTACAGCACCACTTTTTGCATTGCTCCATGCAATCTTTTCATTATGTAATGTGGTGAGGTTTTTTTGAGGACATTACTCGTAGTTGATTCATCTGTGAAGGGAGAAGGTAGTAAGTGTGAACTTGCTCATGGCTTCATTTTATTTATTCATTTTCCATATACAGAATAGTGAAGACATCTGGCTTGTTCACTTCAAAATCATATTCATTTTGAAATGTTGCAGTCTCTAGGTTGTTAATTAAGAAATGTTGGGTGTAGGGCATCAATATGTTTTGTTGTATTGGCTGCAAGACTCATTCTCTGGACTCCAAAAAGAATAAAGCATTTTTACTGAATTAGGTGATTGTGTTTCGAAGTGTTCAGATCTGTATGTTTGTTTTTACAGAAATGGCTCAGGGATCAATCAGCAGTGTATATGTCACATCTTCGTCAGGTTCTGCATCAAATGGCACAAGATTTTCAGCCAGGTGAGATGGAATTACTGATAAATGTTTAAAATCTGTCAGCATGAAGAAAAATTAACTTCATCTGAAATATTTTGTGAAACTATTTATGCTTTGATTAAATGTTGTGTGGAGTGTGCTCAAGTTTATCCCTGGAAATTGCTTTAATTTGACTATTGGTGTTTCTTCACAATGTCAACAAAGAAACTTTTTTAAAAGTATTGGAAAATAAACTGAATAGGCAGGTATTAATTTTATTTAGATTTGAGTTTGTGACAAGAAAACAGATACTTCTAAGACCTGACCAGGGCACAGTTCTCACTTGGTTATTGGTATCTAGCACAAAACAGATTTTTGTCTTTGAACTTTAAACCACATCATACACTGGTAGAATGACAAGTCACGTCTTTTATGTAACCTTGTACAGATATATGCTATTTCAGAGCTTAGCTGATATTTTATTCTCTTGCCATACAAGAGAATTACTACCTTATGTAGTAACTACTGACAAGTTTTTTTGTCATTGCATTGATCAGAAGTTTCTCTTGTGTGAGCTTTGAGTTGTTAAATGACTCAAATGTTATTGAAATGTTTAATGCTGTTAAAAACACTTGAATGAAGTGAGTCAATTATCTGAGCAAATTACATGTATATGTGTTCATTACCTGACATATGTTTGTCTGATGGTGTATGGAAAGTTAGCTTGATATCAAAGGTCAGTTGCATTCGTCCTATTACCATGCAACTGATCCAGTCTGGGCAATGTAAAATGAGGTGAGTGCAAATTACAGATTATGTAGGCTCTTTTTGTAAGAGTGCCTTGTCAGTGCCTTGGGAAATTGATATATTATTTAAATTATTAAGGAAGTCCTAGTTTTTTGGCTGTTTTTAAAGTCATTTATGTTAGTAGAAAAACTTCTGTACTGATGGGATATCTTTAGACAAGGAAATAGCATTTTATTCTTCTTTCTTTTTCCTGAAGATGCTTTTCCTCACCAGTCTGCCTTCCCTTAGAGTTGGAAGGAAGTCCTTCCTAAAGATAAAGCTTACTTTGAAAGTGTGATTGCATTAGTCTTTTAAGGCATTCTGTTTTCCAAAGAAAACCGGAACAACTTTGGAGTATTGAGAGACTGATTGTAGCTCATTGCCACAGTGAGAAACACAAGAACTCTTAGCACTTAACGTTTCTTAGGAGGTTGGAAAAGGGCAGTGATTAATTATTGTTTAATTATTGTATATATTTACCTGTTCATGGCAGTAGGAAACTACAAGATGTGTAGCATGCCTGGTGCCAAAAATTGCTGCCAATGCAAATAAAAGCTGTATGTTTATTCAGTCAACTCTCCTGAGAAAGCTATTCTAAGCCTGAAGATGTGAATTCCAGTGGCTTCATCCTAGTCTTTGTGTCACTAGGATAATTCAGTTATGAAATCCACTTGCTTTTATCCTTTTAGTTATGTGGGAGATTGATTTTTGTTTCCATACTTGGAAAACAGGGAAAATCTCCTTTTTTCTTTATTTTTGAAATTGTCTCTACAGTTAATTGTGGAGAACTTGTTTCTTCATAATTTTAGCTAGATGTATATCTTGGTATCTTTCTTTTGAAAAAATGTATAGAACATACGACTTGAATGTATAGAATGTATGACTTGAAAGTGTCATATTGAATATATTTTCCTTGCAAGCTTCTAGGGTGTGCTACATTTCCTTTCCACACATCATCCCCATCCACCCCATCCATTCTTTCATCCTTGTACAGCTTCAGATGCAGGCTCTATCCAAGGAGTTTTCTTGGTCTACTGCAGTTAACTTTGAAACCTTGGAAGTGTGCAGTTAGCTAGTTGGACATGATTTCCAGGTTAAATGAAAGGGAAAGCCAAAACAAAGCACAGCATTTTCATCAAGATTAAAGAGTAGAAATGTAACTCGTGTTTTTGAAAGAAGCTTCATTTCATGGAATGATAGACTCCCAAGCCTTTCAGTTAGCTCCATGCAACAAGATTTTGTGTGATTGATAATGCATGTTAAGTAGATTAAAAATGATGAGTAAAAGTATTTTTGAAAACAGTTTTAAAGATGAGTGTTTGTCAAGTTGGAGATGTTATTTCTATGATTTTTAGAAAAATGTTTTTTCAAGAATTTGCAACTAAGAATGTAGAACTAGATTAATTTAACAGTAGCAAACTTCAGAAAAATAGCAAGTAATGAGGAATGTTCTGACTACTGAAAGAGAATACTTCTGGATACAGATAATTCATCTAGGAAAAAGAAATTTCCAGTTAAAAATATACTATGTAGCCATGGTAGCTGACCATATAATAACCAAGAGAAGCTATGAATTCTTTATTTTTTGAATTCTTTGAATCAAGATGTGCTTCTGGAAGATACCGGATCCAGTTGGGGTGCCTCGTGTCAGGTGCTACAGAACATTTTGGGCCTTAGATAGCTGTTAGGCATTAAGTACACCTACTTCAAATGAAATCTAGAAAGCATATTTATGAAAGTAGTTCTTGAAAGGATTTCATATCAACCCTGGGGAAGAAACATAGTAAGAACCATTTCAAAATTTGTTAATTTACAGAGTAGCAGTGGCATTAAAGAGATGGAGAAGACGCGTGATAATAAGCACCATAATCTGGGAAGTATCATTAAACACTGTCAACTGGACTTTTCTTGTTTTAGTGACTTTTCCAATGGTGGAGATGGGATGTTGGCTACGAGTTCCAATGGATCTCAGTACAGTGGCTCCAGAGTTGAAACACCAGTTTCTTACGTGGGAGATGACGATGACGACGATGACGATTTTAATGAAAACGATGACGACGACTGATGCCCTTTGCTTGTAGACTTGTTAAAATTCAGCAAGCTTCAGGAATAAATTGTTCTAGGGAGAGAAGTCTCAAATAACTTTGCCCCATCCCTCAAGGAAAGTGTTGGTAAGCAGTTCTGAGTTTAGAAATGCACCTCTGATAAGCAAGCGAGGATTGTTTTATGTAGGATATTTTTAAATGTGGTGTGGATGTGTGTTTTTGATACCAGTGTGTTAATGCAGAGCCTTTATTTACTCTTGGTTTAGGGGTTTTTGGTTTATTGTTTTATTTGGTTTTTTGTTTTTTTGTTTTTTTTTTTACTTGAAGGAAAATGGATTTTGCCCCCAAATGTTCTTGCTAAGTTTGCTAAAGAAAATGTAGACACATCATTGAGAAATAAAATGCTGTCCTTCTGTGGAAAATGAATACACTGAATGGCAATTTATTTGGAGTGTATTTTGATTATACCACTTTGGAGGGATAGCGAGCTAATGTAGTAGTGTGTTTTTTTGTTAACCATGCAGTGTCCAAAGAACCAAACAGGAAAGATACGTCCTACTTTTTTACATGTTAAATTCCAGAAATGTTGTTGTGAACTAATTTTCCCTTAAATTATATCTAACATTATGATTCCATCAAGTTTATATACTTGTCACTGTATGTCGGGACATAAGAATTACAAACTTTTTGGCAAATGTTTACTGCCAGCTGGTGCAGCTATATAAAATATCTTGAAGGTTTGGAATGATTTATTGCTTATGGTAAAATTTGCCTGATTTCTTACAGGCAGACTTTGGAAACTTTTTATTATATAGTTGTTTACATACTTATAAGTCTATCATATAAAGACATGTACTGAAACAAATGTTTGTATTTGTTTCATAAGCATCTTCCTGTAATCTATTATAAAGTTGAAATTAAATATAGAGAATGTTTTAAGTTTTTTAACTCAAAATTTGTCAATCATTTTTAATAGTTCATTTTTATAAAAGGAATTTCAGGGCAGGTGGTAGTCTTTTTAAATTTATTCACAAACAATTAACTGCACAAATACTGTCAGCTGCCTATTCTAAGACAGTAGTCTTTTTATTGAAACACAAATAAACTTTTCTGTAATATTTTATGGAATATAAAGAGACTATAATTGTTTGACTTGTTTAACCTTGGCACTGTTAGTTTTTATTAATAAAACGCGCATGGGCATTTTTAACAAGCTCTGTGGTTTTTCTAATTTTAGGATTGTCCTAGAACATATCACTCCTCCTCATCACAAGACCTAGAACTGACTCTCTCAGAATACCACATCTGCACTACAGAGGGCTCAGATTTTTTAATTTAGTTTCTTCTCATAAGTCTTGATACCATACGATGCGAAGAGCAATATCATACACTGTGTTCTCTCTCCTTTCATGTCTCCTTGTTTCAGTCCTGTTGCTCTTCAGGCTGTCGGGCCAGTCTTTGCACTCTAGTCCAGCTCTTCTGTTCAAAATCCCACATTTACTATCCTAACTTTTCATCCGATGTTCCCCAGTCCTCGTTTTCTGTCATGCATTCCCACATCCTCAGAACAGCTCTTCCTAATGTCTTCTGTGCGCTTCCACCTTAAACCTTTTTGATACACCACGCTCTCTGCTCTGACCTGGAAGCACAGGTTACTGAAATGGCTCAGTCACCCTGCAGGACACTGCCCGAAATCAGGGTTTGTTACTTACACAAAGGGAGTCACTGCAAAGGCAAGATAACTGCTCTTGTGATAAGAGCTCCTCCACATGCTTGAACCCTCACAGCTGACCCTGCATTAAGCAGGAATTGAACTAGGAGTCATCTGAGGTGCCTGCCAGCCTGAGTTATCATATGGTCCCTTAAGGAAAGGAAGTTACAGAATACTATGCATCAGTCTCCTGGGCAGTCTCACAAATGGATCATCTGGTTTGCCTGCATCCTGGGGACTCAGCAGAAAAAGAATGGAAGTTCAGCTGATATTCAGAAGCTCTGAGATGTTAGTAGGCTCCTATGAAGAAACAAGATGGTTAGCTGAGCAGGGAGGAGGCTGCCTTCTTTAGGATGGGGTTTCTAAGCAGAAATGCAGGTGATGCTGTGAGCAAGATGAAGGGCAATGGATGCGCACAGGCATATTCTGCTTGCAGCAGTTACTACAGTAGTCCTCATCTGATGTTATGGTGCTGCTCATCTGGCCACATCTGCCTCTCTGCAAAAATTAAGAGAGCAGCTGTCTCCAGAGAGACATTCAAAGTATGCCAAGACCAATAAGAGAAACATGAACCAGAGAAAATTGAGATTGTTGATTAACGTCTTTGTGGTCATAAAGGCAGAATGCTCTGATGTGGTAGAGGATAAAGAAGAGAGATTGGTGTTAGCTGAAAATCACCAGTGCTCTTCTGTGTTCTGCTAACACCTGTTGGTTTTGTGTTTGGATGTTTCAATCAGGCCAGAATCCAAACCTAGGCTCAAGGATTTGATTTTCTTTGTACATTCATTGTGGATGCATTGTGGTACATCACTGTAAATATTGCAATCATACCAGTCCTGACAGAACAGAAGGTACAATTTTTGCTTTGTAGCAGGTTGAATGATAGCAAAGATGGAATCTTTGGCAAGGGTTGTGTTCTTTTGTCATGGGAATGTTAGAGAGTTCACAAAAAAACAAAGCAGAAAATGTAAGCAAATACTTAAAGCTTAACTCTTAAAAAGAACTGCAACCCCAGTAATTTATTCTAGGTGAAGTAAACCTCTATATTTCTGATGCTGATTTTTAATGAACCTTGAGATTGCAAGTAAATGCCTGGAGAATGAAAGAATTCCAGAATTCCATTTTTCAAAAGTGATGTGAATATGACCTCTGTGAATATCGTCTACAGGGCCTGAGATCAGCAGTGAACATGTTACAAAAAGTGTTGAAGGATTCAGTTGAAACTCAATCAAAAGGTTGGAAGATTAACTGTAAAATGGACAAACTGCAGAATAGGTCTTAACAAATGAATGTGGTATGATAGTGCAGCTGATTTTAGGAAGGAAACAATGGATATATTTCAATATCATTAAGCACCTCCAGTTTTTTTTAAGAACCTCCAGCTTTACCATATCGATACACTGTGTGTTAAGGGGTTAAAAATTGCTCACTGCTGAATCGAAGGTTTTTGTGGGATTATCTGTGGGATTAACTGGCTGAGTAGTTGCATCAAGTAACGCTGAACTATTGCTTAAGGTTTTCTTCAGTAACGTGGAAAGAAATATTTTAAAAAGTAAGTGATATGATTAGAAAAGAATGAAGAGGACAGATAAATGCAGATTGCTTGGCAAGCAAGGTCGTGGCCAAAGTGCTTTGTGCAAACCACATCTTCTGAACAAAGAATTCAAGGTAACAGTACAGAAGATAAGATTATGTGCTGAAAACGTGGGATCCACAGAATGATCTGGTGCCACAGTAGATGGGAACTGCATATAAGTCTCCTACACAGTGTTTTAAGGAATTAGCTAATCTGATATTTGTGCTTAGAACTAATCATTAATCATAGAATCACAAGGTTGGAAACAACCTATAAGATCATCTAGTCCAACCATCTCCTCATCACCTTTGCCACCACAAGCACTAAACCATATCACGCAGCTCCTCATCCAGACGCCCCTTGAACACTGCCAGGGACGGCGACTCCACCACCTCTCTGGGCAGCCATTCCAGTGCCTGACCACTCTGAGAGTGTAATTGTAAGGTGATTTTACACCTGGATACATAACAGCAGGACCAGCATTGAGGAACTGTGCTCTTGTTGGCCTCGCCGTTTAAAAAGATTGTTGGAACAATTGGAAAAGACTGTGAAAAGATCATTTCCTCGTTACTTGAAATCAAAGGTCAGAGTCTTCTTGTATGAGATTTAAGGAACTCTCGGTTTGTGGGAAAGAAACACAAGAAGTGTCTGGGTTTCTGTCAGATCAGATCACACAAAATGACATCGTTGTAAGGGGCTCATCAATGTAAGAGAAAAGCAACGCAAGAATTAGGGACTGGAATTCAAAATCAGACTGCTTGAAATCAGCTATCTAATTGGTAAAGGTGGTAAGAACCCTCTGACACATGATGAAATTGGAATGATAAAATGCTCATTTTGGTAAGAGTAGGACTGACACATGAGCACACTGATGAAGCACGTTACCCCTAAGCATCTTCAAAATTCAGTTCTTTCTCATTTTAGAGCAGGTGAGAGATGTAGGAACCCAATTTCTGCATATGATGCCTGAGCAGTGCTTGCTTTAATAAGGCCTTGGGCCTTCATCGACAAAAATACAATTCAGAAATCATCAGCTGTTCCCACTCTGGTATCAAAAAAAGAAATTGGAAGAAGTGAAAAGTGAACTTTGTCTGAAGTTGTTCAGATGTTTAAATTGAGGAGAAAAAAATACAGATATTCTTTCATACTTATTTTTTATCTTCTATTAAACAACATAATCTTGTTTGTGATTGAATGCTTTTGTCTGAAAGTGGGGAAGCTTATGAAGGGGCTGTGTGTGCAAAGCATGTGATGTTTTTTGCAGACATGCAAGTTGTGATTGTTTTCCATCCAATTACTGTGAGTAGCACATAGACACTTTTATTTGCTGCAGGTTGGTCAGTATCAGTCTTTTATTACTTGAATGAAAGAGGTGAAAAACAGTTGCATAAAATGATGAGGTGGAATTCCTGAGGGCAGTTGCAGTGACACTGTGGTCCTTGTGTGAGACTGTTAAGCAAAGACTTTATATTATATACAGTACTTAGGAGCCGTGGAAGCTGGAAAGCAAACGTTTTAATTTGCTGATAGTCATAGCAAAGAGCCTCCTTTAAGCATTGAAGAGCTTGTATTGATATTTTTCTTCCCTGTTAATATTTGGTTGTGACTTTTAGTATTAGACTTAATGCTTCAACTACTGGATCAGCAGTTATACAAATATTTGTCAATGGATGCAGTAGGAAGATGCATCTCATCTTCAAAGGAGGTTGTGGCTGGATATTGGGAAAAGTATCTTCTCGGAAGGAGTTTTGAGGCAGTGGTACAGGCTGCCCAGGGAGGTGGTGCAATCACTGTTCCTGGTGGTGTTCAAGGAACGTTTGGATACTGTGTTGAGGGATATGATTTAGTGAGAACTATTGGTGATAGGTGGATGGTTGGATTGGATGATCTTATAGGTCTTTTCCAACCTTGGTGTTTCTGTGATTCTGTGATCTGAGAGGTCTTTTCCAGCCTTAATGGTTCAAAGTTACTTCTGTGTTTGTCTGCTCTGCATTGACCTTCAGTATGAGATTTAACACCTTTAAGAGAAAAGTCTGGAAACTGAAAGTTAATGGATATTTTAAAAAATTGGATATAGATAAAATAATGCAGTTGGTTAACATTAGTTTCATGCCATGTTATTACCTGCCTTTTTCCCTGACTGGTGTCTGCATTGCACAGCTGACAGGAAAAATGATGGCCCATCCCTCTGCTCTGATGATGTGGCCCAGCTGACTTCTCTTTCTAGTGTCTCAGTAATCTGCATCCAGTTAAACATGGGAATCTCTTTTTCTTATATGGTATTTAGTTTGAAATGCACTGCTTCAGTGTCTTGGTCAAAGAAAGGTTTGTGAAGTCTGACAGACTTTTTTCATTGGTACCGGTTGGTGAACCAATTATCTCTAATATTGTGACTGAATGTATGTGTATTTTTTGTATGTGTGTATGTGAACTTGTGTGCATATACGTATGTGTACATATATATAAAAGGAATTAGAGACTTGGAATAGGAGTGCTTAGAACATTGTTAAGTGAGGCCAGTTCATCTAAGATGAACATAACTGTACATACACAGCATGTTTGTGGGAGGGCTGGACCTCTCAAAGTTTAGATTCCTTTAATGTTTTAGCTTAACGTTCTCATTTTTCCAGATTATTCCAGGTAACCCACAACTCATTGCTTTACATGGCAGTTCTTTTTTGGGGAGAAGAACAAAACACAAAAACCCCCACAACCAACCAACCAACCAACCAAAAAAGCGTTTTTATTGTTAGAAAGAAATCACAGATGCTAGGTATTAGAAAAGCTACAGGCCGCTTTAAAGTTCTTCTCTTGCAGTTATTGATTTGTCAACTGAAGTCAGACTCAGCTGGCTGATACACAAAGCAATGCATTGGCATGCAGATAAATAAAGGCTGTCCCTTTACAATTTAAACATCCTGTACAA